TCCATGTAGCATCAATTATGCTAATGCTAGCTGCCTGTCACGTTCTCTCGTCCTGGCCACACCTCCGCTCTCTAGCCCCCCTCCTCCCCTACCCACACCCCCTCCCCTACCCACTTTGATGCATTTTTCAAATTTCGCCTTGGGGCGGAGTTATCTTTTCACAGTGGGGTAAGATACACTTTAAAGTAGAAAACCAGGGGTTTAAGCTTAGGAGATAAATGAACCAATTGACGGGCCGAACTTTGGTCACTCCAGCCCGCGGGCCGCCAGTTGAATAGCCCTGATGTAGCATTTCTGGTACAGCTTGGTGCAGTTTGGTACAAACAAAGCGTGTAATTCAACACTGTAAGTTTTGGGAATAACATTCACACAAACCACTGTTAATTATCTGAGATGAGTTGTTTACCAGAGGCAACGATCCACTTTGGTCTTGGCTCCATTTATGCCAGGTGTTTGCTTTTCAGTCCAGTCAGAATAAAACTCTAATTCAAACCGAAGCCTTTCAGGAACTGTTAACAACCTTTCCGCAGCAGAACTCTCCAAAAGTTCAGCGCTATCGCTTTAAGCTCAGTTGGAGAACTACCGCTCTGGAACGGAACGTGGAAGCTGTGGGAGCTACAGAAAAAGATGGCGTGTAGATGGAACAAATAAACTTACATAGCTGAATGGAGAGCAAATACGCACGTGTAACATGATGAGCATGATCGCACAGATGTCTTTAAACTTGATACGTGGAACTCGCTCAGGAAACCATAACTCCTGGTTGGACCAGTCGAACAGACAGAGAGACCGTCATGATAATAAACAGAAAATTAAAGAATAAGAACATCATTTTGTTCACTGCAAAATGCTTAAATGAACAATTTTTATGTCATTTCTACTAATAACAATCCAGGCATTCTATAGATATCGTGTCCTTCATACAGCACACAGATCTGCCAACAGGAAATAAACTGCTTATCAGTGGTTTGTGCGTGTGTGTTTGTGTGTGTGTGCATGCCTGTATAAAGATAAAAGCACATAGCTGTTTGGTCGGTGGCTTCAGTCTATATAAGGTTGTTCTATTTCTACAGCTTTTCCTCTGGGGATCCAATACGATTGTCAGCAGTGGGACAATGCATGCCTCTGAACTGAGCAGGCTTCTCTAGCCTGCATCATTTACACGTCTAACCCTTGTAAACAGAACACAAAGGATTGTGGGATAAATGTGTTAATCTCTGTTGAGTTTGTTTGTTTTTTTTTCCCTCTGATGACTCAAACTTATGATGCTGAATGACTGACCGGTCTCAGTAAAATTCAATTAAAGTTAAAAGTGTTTCTCCTTGATTGACGAGCTTGTGTGATTCTTTACTAAGCTCTTAGTTTGGAAAGAGCGTGTAATATTTTTTCTCTTTGTCATGGTATATTTAATTTCTTCCTGAAATTAGACCAAAAGGAAGTTTTGGAAAAAGGAATCTGCTCTCGCTCCTATTTGCAGGCCGACTAAAAATAGTGCTGAAGTCAACGCATGCTCATGTTTGATTGGAAATCTCAGCGCCTTGAGTCAGTGCAGTGTTGTGTCTGTCAAAGGAGGGAATGACTCGTCTGAACGGTGAGCTAACTTCATGATAAAGACTGAAGAACTATAAAATCTGAGTAAACCGTGAGCAGTTTTGGTTCAGTATCGCAGCATCTTGCGTGGATGTTTTGTGCTGCAGGAAAACTTAATTATGAGTTTTTTTAAGTTTAAAAAAAAAACATTTTATATGAATGTTTTCATCTCTTTGCTCACTGTAGGTTGAATCTGTCTCTTTGGAAAGCACAAATTTCTTGGAGAAATTTTCTTGACAGCGCATGTTTTTCTTTCTTTTTTTCTTTTTCAAACAAGAGATGGGTTCACGGAGGACAACAGCCCAATTCGGGAATGGAAGATCCGGCAACGGGAACGATGTTGGCGGGAACGGCCGGTCCAGCAGCTGCAGCTACCTGTCCAACGTCAGGCCAGAAACCAGGTACAGACTCATCTCTGCTCGTTGAATCACCTCAAATCAATTTCCTGCCTGAAAAAAAAAACATCGTTTGTTGCATGTTAATATAGTTTAAATAAGCTGCAGACAACAAACAGGATCTCAGTGATGCAACACAAGGTCAAATTTAAGCCTACCTATAGTTTCTTATTGGAGAAGACTGTTGAGTGTATGAGTAATGTTTCCATTTAGGATGGTCCGGTGGGTTTTAAAAATGACCGGAGGATGTTTTGGAGATAATTTCAAGGCACAGAGAAGTTGGAGTATTCGAAGAACTTCTCATTTCCGTCAGCCTTGCGTCACGGTGCAGCTGCTCACACACTTACTGTCAAATTCAAAATGCAAATTATCATCCTGCATCTAATTTTAGTAGTAATGAAGGCTGACAGGTTCTGAGCTCTATTAAAAGTCTATTTCACCAGCTAACAAATGACAAGAGATCAAGATTTTCACAGAAATCGTTTGTTGACTCACTAAGTTCACTTCACGTCTGTTAGTCCACCACAGACACACAAACTCATAAAGTCAATTTAGCGTGATCAGTTAACCTAACATGCAGGCTTTTATCTGAGTGGAAAAGGAAGAAGCAAGAGAAAACTCACACATGCGAGGAGAAAACAAGCAAAGTCTATAATTAACAAACTAGACCTAAGACCTGCTGAGGACCAGCTGCTCCACAGTGAACCCTCCATACTGCTGTGGACCTCCCACTACTTTCACATGTTGTTTGTGACGCGTGAAAACTTCTACCGGTAATTACTTAAAGACTTGTCTGTTTGTTACATTTTTCAATTAAGCAAACACACCAACATTAAAGGGATCCCCGATTAGTTGTAACATTAGACTTTATTTAATAAACAAATATTTTAACTGTAAAATAAAGACTGTAAAAATACTGTAGGCTGTTTAGTTTTCATAATTTTTAAACTAAACATTTAAAAATATATTACACAGACGGGGCCATTTTATTTACATGCAAAGCATTCTGGGTAAATGATGACGTGGATAGGTCCTCAATGTGAGGCTGCTAGCGAGCTATATCCACCCTGAAGGTTAATCTTAGACAATATCTGATGATCGACTCTTTTAAATGAAACCAGAGAGCGTTGACAGAGAGGAGAAGGTAGAAATGACTCAGCCTGGAACTGAAAATATGGATGGAGGACAACAGAGCTGCTTCATGGAAGAAGAACCTCAGCTTAGCCTGTTAGCTTTAGCGTTAGCCCCGACGCTATCACCATATATATGTATTAGCTCAGCGCTACACATTCTCCTCTCATCACTGAGGTCCTCCATCCACATGACAGAGAGGGGAACACAAAAATGACTCAGTCTGTAACTGAAAATATGGATGGAGGACCTCAGTTTACCATGTTTGTCGCGCTAGCACCAAGCTAATACACATAAGGCAATATAGCATCAGCGCTAGCGCGAAGGCTAACAGGCTAAGCTGAGGTTCTTCTTCCATGAAGCAGCTCTGTTGTCCTCCGTCCATATTTTCAGTTCCAGGCTGAGTCATTTCTACCTTCTCCTCTCTGTCAACGCTCTCTGGTTTCATTTAAAAGAGTAGATCATCAGATATTGTCCAAGATTAACCTTCAGGGTGGATATAGCTCGCTCACAAGAGGACCTATCCACGTCATCATTTGCCCAGAATGCTTTGTGTGTAAATAAAATGGCTCCGTCAGTGTTAAAATATATTTAATAAAATTTACAAAACTAAACAGCCTACAGTATTTTTACAGTCTTTATTTTACAGTTAAAATAAATGTTTATCAAATAAACTTTAATGTTACAACTAATCGGGCATCCCTTTAAGTTACTGATGCAAAGCATTCTGGGGACGATGATACAGTTGAGACTAAAATAGAAAGAGTCAAGGCTAAAAAGCTATAACGTGTGACAATAAATTTGTGTTTTGTATTAGATTCTTTGTTCTGCACAATAACTGGGTTGAAACGATCAAACGGGATGTTTAGTAAATTAAGTCCTAGACCTTAAAAAAACAGAATCTGATGAACAGGTCATTTTTGCTCAGGAGCACGCTCTGCAGCGTGATGGCACAGCTAGCAGAGGAAACACAGCCCTTCTTCGAGGAGACGCTGAAGTCCAAAGCCGTCTCAGAAGACAGCACAGTGAAGTTTACCTGTGTGGTCACAGGTATAAAGCCTTTTTTGTGAGCCCCATCTACAGATGTTTATGGAAGTTTTATTCTGATGTCCCATTTTTTTCTCTTTCTCTCTTGTTTTCAGGTCACCCCACTCCTCAGATTACGTGGTATAAGGATGATAAACAGCTGGACAGATATTGTGGGCTTCCTAAATATGAAATATTTCGCAATGGACAGAGTCATTCCCTGCACATATACAAGTATTCACAACACATCTTCTGCCTAATAGTGATGTGCAGATCGATACTGAAATATCGACACTACCGATACCTGAACTTTATGTTCTAGAATCGATACTAAAATCAAAATTTTGATACTTTAGTTATTTCACATAATGTATATCATTAACAAGAAAATAGTGGAAAATAACTAAACTATTCAAATCTTGTCTAAATCATGTGGTTGGAGGGAACTACTTTTTCTTCCGCTTGGGTAATGAAGAAGCACAGTTACAATTACTATGTCATGTATTATTTACAAAGCGGTTATTTGAAAAATGCTACTTTTTAAGATTTACCAGACACATTATGTGTGTTATCACAAAGTATCAGTATCGCCGATACCAGATAAATTTTACTTGGTATCAGTATCTGAAAGAAAACTGGCAGTATCGAACATCACTACTGCCTAAACCAAAATACTTGTTTATTTTGTAGTTGATTTGATTAATAATCAGCTGCCTGACGTGGCTTTGATTATTTCAGTTGCACCGTGGAGGATGCAGCTATCTACCAGGCTTCTGCCATCAACAGTAAAGGTATCGTCTCCTGTTCAGGAGTGCTGGAAGTGGGTGAAATGAACGAGTTCAAAATCCACCAGCGCTACTTTGCCAAGCTGAAACAAAAGGTGGAGAACAGATGCAGGGAGGCCCGGGATAAGGAGGACCAGGAGTACCTCCGAACCATCAGCCCAGACCGAACGCAGAGGAAGCGCCGCTCAACAGCAGAGACCTCCCTCAGCGCGTCCAGCCTCAAGGAGGATGAAGACAACCAGGAGGGACTTCAGGCTGAGACTCCAGATGCTGAGTTTAGGTTACAGGAGGCCAACGCTGAGGAACCCGGTAAAAAACCAGCTCCGGTCTCTGATGGAGCTGTGTGTGCTACGGCAGGTGGACAGGCAAGCGATGACAGCAAGAGCAGGACACTCACAAGCAATCCTGTTCAAAAGATTTTCACCGCTCACGAACCGAAAAGTCCTTTTGTCAAGAAGAAGATTAAGATTTCCAACAGCGCTAAAGTTTCAAAAACAGATATGTCGGAGAGAACGTCCAAAGAGAGGATGACAAAAAACGACACAGAGACTGTCCACAACAATGGCATCTCAGACAAAGTGATGGAAGTAGAAAACAACGTTCATTCACCAGAGTCACATTTAGACTCAAAGCTCGTAAAAGAAAAACATCAGAAACCTGCAACAGAGAAATCTGCACTCATTAAAAGGTTTTCACAAAATGAAACCCCACGCAGTCAGCCTCCTGTATTTTCACAAAGACTCACTAAAACAGCGTCTCCTGTTGCTACGTCCTCAAGTCGTGCTCCGTCTGAGAAAGAATTCAAGAACAAACCAAAACGTGAGAACAAAGGAGATCACAGAGAACGTTTGGAAACAAAGAACCAAAGTTCACAGTCAAGTCTGAAAGCAGCAGATCAAAGTGTGTCAAAGAAGGGCATTCATGCAACAGAACGTGTTACAACCATTAAAACCAACGGGAGTTTAAAAACATCATCAGATAAATATCTTCAGCATTTGAAGTCAGCGGCTAAATCAAGTGACACCAGGACGGCTTCACCTCAGCGTCCACGTGAAGTGGCTGAAAGTCGGCTATCTGAGGAGGAAACAAGCTCCTGTCAGAAACCGGAGTCTGTATCCCGACCAGACGAGCCACGTGTGGTGAGTCAACTTTTCTGCATGAGCTTATGGCTGCTTTGTGATTCCACCACAGGCCCCCATCAGCAACACAAGCATCCTGGAGCTAATTTTAGCTTTTTACAAGCGCGCCTTGTGCTGGACCAACGACCATTAAATGACGCACCTGTTGACAGACGGAACAGTTGTGATGACGCAATATATTTATATAAGGATGGACATCCTAAAGGGTCCCTGTAGTGATTTTTATCAGATAAATAACTTTTCTTGTATTATTTTTGTACAGATTAAATGTAAAAGTACAATTAGAGGAATTTTAACTTTGATCAAAAAACAATGTTTTCCTCACATCATGTCAGCTGACTGGTTGTAGCTTTTTGACCTTATTGTGATTTTTTTTTATGTGAGGTTATTTTTTGCCAGGGTTGTCACACTCCTTTCCACCGAGGCCCACATGAGCATTATGGTGGACCTCAAAGTTATAACTCCTCTTTTTTTTTTGAATGAATGATTTTATTTGGTTACATTAAAGGAACACTCCACACAAAAACAAACAAAACTTTAACCCTATTTGACCAAATAGGTAGAGGCAGAAACCAATGGCTTGTTTTGCCTCACCTTACAATTCAAAATGGATTCCCCAAAACAAAATACACAAAAAACACACATATACTTCATCTACATCCTGGTTATATACAAATCATTAATACAGTTTTTTTAATCAACAATATCATTATTATTGTCCGTACATGCAAAAAAATATGTAATATATTACCACCACCGTCATCACAACTGACTGCTATAAACCATAACTTATAATTAATTTACTTTTTAACTTCTTTTTGAAACTTAAAAGAGAGTCACTAAACTTAATTTCATCATTTAAATTATTCCACAATTTAACACCCAATACTGAAACACATCTGATATTTGTTCTTACTTTATTAACTTCAAAAATAAAGAACCCCTTTGAATTATAATTATTTTCCCATAACTTAAAAAGTCTTTGAATACCATCAGGAAGACTATTTATTCTTACTCAGTATAGTAACTCCAGTGTTTTTAAATACACTATATCACTAAATTTTAAAGCAGAGGACTTCAAGAATATTGGGTTTGTGTGCAATTCATTTCAATGTTTTAAGTTTAACTTTGACTCAAACCGAGAAATGTCACATTCCTTGTCTCACTGCTATGGCCGAGCACCGCTAGCAAGTAATAACGAAGCTCTATGTGGTATTTCCTGCATGGAAACAGCATTTAACACATCCTCTTATTGAAAGTAATATGTGTACGACTGACTAAATGTAAAATAAATAACACAGAAATAATATTAAAAGGAAGAGAGTTTTACTCACTGTTGAGTTGTGGTGAGAGTACTGTCTTAAATTCTGAACTCTCCCACTTCCCCATAGGAATTCCCACTGCAGGGGCATTCACATAAGTGGGATCTTACCACTTCCCAGTACAACTGGACTGCAGCAAAAGTAGCCAGTGGAAATGCAGTGAAATTAAGATTTTGCACTGGGAATTTTGTCGGCTGACATCTACTTTTGAAACCTGTGCAGCTTTGCTTAATAATGGGATGCCGTCAAATGAACTGTTTGACAAAGAAGATTTGGCAAATCTTTCATGTGCACAACCCACACACTCTGCTCTACTGCTCATGCTCTTTACAAATGTGGCGCCATTTAAAAGGGAATTAACAGACTTTCCAACACCAAATTGTGACTTGTTTTAAATAAAGGAGAACTAATGATTCCTTGACAGTTTCTTCCATGACAACAAGTTTGTGTTGTTCTTAAACAATTAGCTGAACCTTAGCTGAGACTGAGAGCTGAGACAAAACGCTGCATGGCCCGAGTGCTCCTTAAAATGATTTGCATTCCATTCTGGCCACCCTTACTTATAAAATAGCAACCTCCTTATTAAGTAAACCACTTCATATCAGCCTTGGTGGTGGAAAAAAAATTAAAAGAGCAGAAATGTGCAGGTAAAATGTAAAGAATTTTTAAAAATAAATAGGCTGGTTCTGAGTTTGAGCAGTGAATGTTTTTTATGACTAATTCAAGATGTGCTGGGACACAGACTGTCTGAAAAACAAGTTTAACCTGAAAGAATCAGAATTTGACAAAAGACATGTGGAGTTCTTTCCTGTGTTGTAATCAAAAAACACTAATTAAACTGACTGAACTGAGAAGTATGGAAGGTAAGTTTAAGTTTAACCTTTTGACAAGAATTCTAATTTAATATATGACATATTTAGACACTCAACCTTCTCCATAGAAAGCAACATAAATGTGTTAAACGTTTATTATAGGGTTAAGGGTTTGATGACTTTTCCTCCGAACTCATTCCTTTTCGTCTTTGTTGCTGGCTACTCTGTTGCTGTTTTTAAAATTGCATGTGTATATCCATGTCCAAGCAAAGCCGGGGATGATGGGATGAGTATTTACAGCTTGTATTTTATCCCAAGGTTACACAGGCCCATGCAGAGACGAACAGAAACGATGCACCTGTCAGATCTGAGCCCCCACCTGACCAGCGTACGATCAGCTCACAACCACCAGAAAACCCAGATGACATCCAGACCTCCTCTTTGTCCAGGAATCTTCAAGCAAAAACTGATAAAACAGCACAGGACGTGTTGGATAAATCAAGGCAGTCAAGTGAAAGCTCAGTCAAAAAGTTTCCTTTTGACACCCGTGGACCTGCTGAGAACATTCCAGAGTGTAATGTTTCACCTGCCACCAAGCGAAGCCAAGTTGATGCAGCTGTAAAAGCCGTTGAAAAGGCAGAAACACAAGATGTCGAGAAGGTAGAGGGTAACGAGGTGGAGGAGTTGGCCCTGAGTGGGAAGATATTTGAGGCTGCAGCTCCTGAACAAATCAAAACACAGAAGACGAATGATACAGGAGACAACGTGGCAACTGGGAATCCTGCTAATTTAGAAACAAACGAGCACAAACGCGCATCAACGCTGGTGGAGAAAACTGTCTCAGAATTAAAAAAGCTGAAGTCACATGTGTCACAGACAGCTTTTCAAGACCAAACAAAAACCTCGGCAAACATCGTCTCTCTTCAACCCATCGTAGACTCAACAAAACACCCAAAAGCAGAATCAGAGGTTATATCTATCGCTGAGCTTCTGAGGTCTCAAATAAAAGCTCTTGAGTCAGACACCAGCCCAGCAGATCACACTAACTTAGCTCAAGGTCCGACAACAACAGATAAAGGCGTCTTACAGGAAGCAAAGGGTGATGACATAAAATGCAACGGAGAAGCAATTATTGTCAAGCATGATGATAAAGCTGTAAAAAGCACCAACAGTACACCTCCCACAAACCTAAAGGCAACACTTATGAAGATTTATCAAGAACTAAACGAAGAGAAAGAACCAGCTGCAGCTTTAGATGTTACGTCAACCAAAGAACTTCCTGTTTGTTTCAGAGGCCCCGACGCACCCGCAACAGAACTACATGCAAGAAGAGATGAAGCTGTAAATGACTGCTCTTCGGTCTCTGATTCTACGAGTAAAAACTTCAAAGACACTCCTCCTTCTCTACCTTCTAAGGATGAATTGACTGAAAAGCCTCAACCTGAAACCGTTACTCAGACATCTGGGTCTTCAGTCAAAGAAACACAGATCAGGACCAGTATTCTTGAGACAAACACTAAAAATATGAAGCACACCAAAGATGAAACTGTCCAAGACCCTGACATAGACTTAATACAAACACAAAGCCCCCCCAAAAGTCCCAACAGCAAAGTGGAAGGACAACTTACAGAAGTTAGTATAAGACTTTCTGATCAGTTCAAATTGAAACAATCAGAACTGAAACCCAAAGGTGCTGAACGTAAATCCATCCCTGCCAAGAAAGAAACAGATACTCAGCTCGTCCAGCAGGAGAGCTCAGGGATTAAAGAATGTCTACGGTCTGATTTCATCAACAACCTGACTCCAGAGGCCAGTCCACTGATGAGGAGAAAACACTGTACCTCTCCCGTCCTTTCTGCTACTCCACAAGAGCTAGCCTCTGGGGCGCGACGCAAACTCTCAACGTCCTCGGCCAAACCCGAGGAGGTCGAAGAGACCACGTCCTCCACAGATAATCAAACTCAGACAAATGGGTTAGCTGTGAAAAGCACCAAGATCTCCACTAGCACTGGATCCCCCGGCCCATCTCGACAGTCACCTGGTCTGCAGCCGGCTGGAGAACCAAGCTCAGCAACAGAAAGGCCGTCGTTGCTGTTCAGCAGGAGGAAGACGATGACTGAAGCTCCAACACTGAACCAGATCCACACTGAGGGGAAACCTGCAGAGAACAAACATAACCCATTCAAAGGTAAGAAGGAATGTCTTTTTTATTTTTATTTTTAGAAATAAATAACCCTACATAAATAATAGGTTTCATCAGTGGGGGCATGGTTCTGCTAATCAGCTAACAGCTAATAAGGGACAAAAATTCACTTAGCGGATTAGCTTTGTCACTTTGAAAAACTTTAGCAGACCAATTAGCTTTAGCAAAATTAGGTTTTGCCAACTTTAAGTCCACTAACATAATTCTGAACAGCTTTGTTGAATATCTCACAAATAGTTTGCAGATCTGGTCAGTTTACTGACGTTAAATGAAATCTGGTCATTTTGGTTTATTCATGCAAGAAAAATTGTTCATTTTTTCCACAACCCAACATTTTTAGCAAAGTAATAATTTCATGACAGATTGCAACCAAACATCCAACACCAAAAATAATGAGTACATCACAGAATGAAAGCAGTCATTCTAAAATCCCAGTAATTAACCCTTTGATCCTAATGTACTACAGCCAGATCATCACGTAACAGAATGCACCGTGATTACAATTCAGATAACAAAACATTTAAATAATAATAACTTTTTCTATCATTTTCTATCAATCTGTCTTATCTCTAGAAGCTTGGAAACAGAGGCTCAAATCCTGGATTTAGATTTAGCAGCTTTTGTGTGGAACAGTTATTTTATAACCATTATTTTAAACCTGTAGTTTCACCATGTAGTCTATTGTGGGGTTTCTTCTGCAGCTCCTCAAGTTATCCGTAAAATCAGGGCGGAGACGTTTTCAGACGCTTCAGGACACCTGAAGTTATGGTGCCAGTTCTTCAACGTCCTCAATGACTCCAAAATCAAATGGTACAAAAATGAAGAGGAGATTGTTCAAGTTAATAGAAAGTAAGTTCTCAGATTAACTGAAACGTATTATATAAACATTATATATATATTTTATATAAACATGTCTTTAAGATGTGTATTAGATTAGGTGTTATATGTGGGTTATTTGTCTTCCAGTGCAGGGGATGAAACTCCAGTCAACCTCACCATTGTTCAGGCATCAAGCAAAGACTCCGGTGTTTACAGATGCTCTATAACAAATGAATATGGAACTGACTCCACAGACCTTTTACTAAGTGCAGAAAGTAATGATAAAATAAATGGGCCATATATTATTATTTAATTTTCCCCATAATCTGTTTTTTAATCTTTCCTCTCACTGTTTTGCAGTCTTGGCTGGAATATCACTGCGTGAGGATCTTGGTGGTAAGATAAGGTTTTGCACACAAGTTTTTTTTGTTTTATTTTTTCTGTTTTCCTAAATGTCCTCCTCGTTCTACTGTTTTATGCAGTTGGAGAGGAAATTGAAATGACACCCCTCATATTCAGCAAAGGTCTTGCCGACTCCGGTACCTGGCGCAACAAATTCTTTGGACGCGTAATGGTGACGCAGTCTTACATCGGAGACGGCTGTTCGCACAAAGTCTGGAGAGCAAAGGTCATCTACGGTCTGGAGCCCGTGTTTGAGTCTGGTGACACGTGCATCATTAAAGTACGCAGCCCCATCACCTACGGAGGCAAGGAGGAAAGCTGTTTACTTGAAAGGAACCTTGACATCATGAAAAAGGTACTTCAAAAGTCTAACAAGTTTGTGCCTGTTCCTCTGGACGGGTTCTATGTTGAAACGGTTCGACTATCAATCAAAGGAGTTGCCAGCAGTTGAGTTTTCCTGCAACTCCTCAGACTGAAGAAGTATTTTGGTTAATAGACGAAATTTTTTAACAAAGAAGAACCCGTCCAGAGAACCTGACTAAACCTTGTTAGATTTCTCTACCTGGATCATTGAGATGCATCAGGACGGTGTGAGGTTGAATGGTTTGTGTCTTGTGTTATACCTCCCTCTTGTGTTCCCTTGTCTTCACAATGCCCTTTTCCCCTCGGTTGTTTACTGGTAAAATTCATCCTGTCACACACACCTGTCATTAGTTTCTAATCAGTGTTTTCTCTCAGCTGTTGTTCATCTCCTCATTCCCTCTGTGTGTATAAATACCCTTCTCTCTTCTCCACTCTTGACTGGTTCATTGTTTGACTATGTTCAACTGTCTCCTCGTCATTCCCCATGTTTTCAGAGTTCTTTATTGTTTTGCTACCACGTCAGCCTTTTTGTTTATCTAATAAATCTTTTTGCTATAACTCCTCTCCTCCGTCCGGATTTGGGTTCATTCTCCCTGCGTAACCTAACAGACGGTACTTCAAAAGGTTTCATTTCACAGATTATCTTTACCGTCAGATTTACCGTCAGCATTTTCAACTTTAACCTAAGTTGAGCATCAGTTCTGCCACCCACACAGGATTACTGTGGAATTAATTAAATTGAGATTAAATAAATACGATGCTGGGGGTTGAGTGGATCTTTTACTGGCTGCTTTCCCAAATGTTTCGTATACAGGAGTGTAAAATTCAGAACTTGGCTCGTGAATACTGCAAAATCTTCTCTGCTGAGGCAAGAGTCATAGAAAACTTTGGGCCCTCTCTTGAGTGAGTACATTTGATTTAAGAAGTTTCCTGTATTTTCAGCGTCATGTCATTGAACATTTCTAAATTACTATTCAGGGTGATCCCCGTCTACTTGATGTACCGACCAGCGAACACTGTTCCCTATGCCACAGTGGAGTCTGATCTGGGAGGAGGGTATAAGAAATACTCCGTCCTGGATCACACGGTGAAAACAGACACCAGGACTGGGTCTGAGGCAGAACAGAAGTGCTGCACCTTCCAGCACTGGATCTTTCAGTGGACTAATGGCAATCTGCTGCTGACTCGCCTCGAAGGTGAGCTGTCCCTTAAAAAACAGAGCAGTTTTGAGTTTCCACATACAACATGCTTTTTTTTAAATCAGAGTCAGCCTGACAATAAAATAATGCTTATGGTTTGACATTATGGCTTAACATCCTGCCTGCCAGAGGTCCAACAGCCAAAAGGCAGATTCAGGGGTGTCAAACCCAGTTACACAAGGGGGCCAAATTCCAGAACTTGGTCCAAGCCAAGGGCCAGTTTCTGTCAATATTCACTGAAAAAATGTTATATAACAAATGATTCTTATAGAAAATTCCAAATTATGTTTTTAGAAGATATACAACAGATAAAGATAAAAATAATAAATAAGATTTATGATTTACATAATTTTTTATGCCTCCAATGCCCGGCCTGCCTGAGCTGCTGGCTTTGAGTGTGGCCCCCCTGACCAACTACTTTGAATAACCCTGTCTTACTCTCTATCAAAAACTTTTTCATTTATTATATCATAGAGATTCATTTTATCGCAATTCATTGAAAATAGAAAACCTAAAAAAATCCAGTTATTTGACGTTAAAATAAGAAGGAAATGCAGAAAAAGATATAAAATTCTACATCAAAATGAAAGATTACTGCAAAATACAAACTGTATTTTCTCAGCTTGAAAGTTGGCCAGCTGTCATGAGAAGAATGCACTAAATACAGTGGAAAAAAGAGAAACCATATAATTATTTCACATCAAATATTTTATAGCCTGGTAAAAACCAGACCCTTGTCCTTCACTTTGCTTCGTACGAGGGTCTGGACTCTCGGCTATAGAAAAGAGATTCTCGCAGGAGGCGTGGCCTCTGCTGAAGTTTAAAATGATTGGATCGGTTGGCCGCGACGTGTCACTGTGAAGGCGGCTATGCTAAGAAGCTAACCGGAAATCGCGTGTGCTGTAAACAACCCTACTGAGAAGAGAAAAGTACTGAGTTGAACGAGACGACTGTAAATGAGAGCTGCTGCTTTGTCAGACAAATTTATTTTAATTTGGAAGCCTTATCAACACAGACTGGCTTCATTCACTTCCTCCACTGCCGTATGCTAAACTAAGTAGCAGACACTGCTACATCGACGTCGTTCAAAACTCCGCCTTTTGTTTGTTGATTGGTCCAGGTAAAATAAACTACAAGCAGACACTGTGCAGAAAATAGACGTTCTGTTCTCTGATTAGTTCGGCTAAAAATCTGCCAGCAAAATCCTTCTCAATGGGAGAAATCCCAGACGGAGCAGAGAAGGGAAACTAGAATTGAGCGGAGCTGCGTAGGAAGGCAAGGGCCAGGCTAAATATTTTACTTTTGGGTCCAGATAAAATGATGACGACCGTATTTGGCCCATGGGCTTTGAGTTTGACATGTGTCACAGAAAATGTTTTAGCTGAGAAATGTAAAACTATTGACATGTTCAAAAAATCAGATCATGTGTGAATAATTATATTTGCAAACATATAAAGTCTGAATATGTTACTGAAAAGAAGAGAAGTAACTGCATGATGTTTCTTTGTTTTGCAGGTGTTGACACTAAAATTACCAATGTTGAAATTTCAGTCAGATCAACAGGGTAACCAAATCTAGTTGTGTTTTTGCAAATTACCCGGTGTTTTACGGATAATTAACTTTCAGGCAAACCTTGACCAAATTTTTTGTTCTGTTGTTCTGCAGTCATCAAGGTTTGTCTGTTGAAGGGAATCCCAAAGTTTTTGAGGACTTTGTCTCACAGCACAAGTGCAACTACTTCTGCGGCCTGCTTGGTCTGAAGCCTCTAAAGGTCATGGACTCTTTAACAACGCCAGCAAAGCCAAAAGGCTCCAGGAGCCCCTTACTTCAACGCAAGAAGCCAACCAGCTCCTCCAGCCCTCAGCCTGGCAGGAAAGCCCCTGTAAGCCCCCGGCAGCCCAGAAAGGCTGATCAAGAGGGCAGCAACACTCACACTGAAGACAAAGCCGCTGATGCTCCCAAAGGGGTTTAGAAGAAGCACCTCAGAGGTTCCCTGCATGAAAGAGAAAGTAACTTTAAACAGACACCATTCCTTACCTTTATGTTCCTTGTTTGATTATATTTGCTGCGTTAAACCGTGGGGCGACTGCTGCTGTGTGTAACTACACAAAATGCCCAGTCTGGTTTTTGTTGTCAGTTAAATCAACTTTCAGCAGACATTTGGACTTAAATTACGTTAAATGTTTTCCTTAGTTTCAACTGACCGTTGTCAATAATAAGATGAACATGTAGTAAGCTGGAAATGATCAACCGTTTGTGTTTCAGGACTGTATCAAACCAAAGTTAGCTTCACGTCATTCTGTTGTTCACTAACGGTGGGTGTCTTCCATGTTGTAACCTGACATGTTTTATTTACTTGCAATTCTTTGCATTTTCAAGCAACTTTAAATTAATCTGGCTCTACAATAAAAGAAACAACTACATTGTGTGAGATATTGCAAAATGTATTTTTTTTTTCAGAATTTGCACTTATTTAGCACCTTTTTAACCTCTCCAGGCGAAACACTTGACAAAAGATGTGTTCAATGATGGGGTCGTGACCCCTTGTGGGTCCGTAGAGGTACTGCAGGGGGGGGTCATGAGATTTTTGGTTAATTAGATTATTTAAACACTTCTTCATTTTTATTTTAAAGTTATGTCTCAGTATCAAATTCACAGTAATAAGGCATGTTTTATGTAGTACTAAGCCAATAAAACATAACATAATGCACAATTTATAGGAACAGTATGTAGTAGGGGGTCCTTGCTTCCTCTCCATCAGTTTGGGGGTCCCAGACTGAAAAACGTTCAATACACCTGCTTTACAATGTTTCTCATTCCCTCATTTACACATCTTGTCACATCTGAATGAAACAAAAATAGCCGAAAGATGTCTCTTTCAGAAGATCGACAAATCAAATTCCTTCACAGACCTCAGAGAATTAGGTTTCTTTCATGCACAACATGAAGGTTTAACTTCCTCATGATAATCAGGAGTGATTCTTACTGATCAGTGAGTCATCACTTATGTAAGCTGTGGCCTCGCACACGTGAGAGCCGTGCTGAAAAGCTGCATTTACGCACCATTTGTCTGCTGATGTACAGTAGCAGGAGGTTTGGAGGTCTTCAGCTGAAGACAGCAGAGTTAAAGTGGCTGCTGCCTTAAACACGTCGTATACATTTGATGATAAAGTAGCACAGTTTTTCTATTTTCTGCTGGGAAAATAGAAAACGTGCTGTTTCCTTGATGGTTGAGCTTCAAGTTCAGTGGAGCTTCAACAAAAGTTCATGTTTGGTCTGGTTGTCTAAAGTGCAGAACCTCTCAGTAAATAAAAATTTGTTGCTGTTTGTCTTTTAAATTCTAATTTCAAAACAATTCAGCAAAGATTTATAGGTCCAACAGTATATACTGTATGAAAAATAACTTTCCAAAAACAGTGACATTAGACTTTTCATTATGTTTCCAGTTAAGTGGAATCTGAGTTTACGTATAGGTATGTGGAGGAAGGTGTGTGAATGTACATGTGGTTATGCATACGTGCATGCATATTTATGTATATATAGATGTGTTTATGGGTATGCATAATTATTTTAGTTATTTTTAGGGGTGAGTGATTAAAAGCTTCCTCTCATTTCTTTTTGAATACCTCAGTTATTTCCTGTAGCCTATAGTTTCCTACAGTTAGWAGGTAGGTATAATTTACATATTCAAAATAAATAATACAAAAGAAATCTCTGAATCAAGAAAAAATAAACTGTCCAACAAAAATAAATGTATAATGAAACTTACATTATTCCATTATAACTTTATTCCACTGATATTTATAGACCAACGTATTTCCTAACACATCATAATGAAGCGCCATTCATTGTTTTATTTGTTGAATCAGAGGAAATAACCTGCTGTTAGTTAAATCACCTCATCATTGATGAAAAATAGCATGTGTCTTAAACTCTGTGGATCTAAATTAAATATGTGGCCTAATGACACTGAGGGGACACGGTGGCTCTGAGGTCAGAGCTGTGGCCCTGTGATCCTGGGGCTGCAGGTACGAGCCTAGGTCATATCAAGGACAGGCTTAGTGGTGGCACAGATAACCAAAATGTTAGCTTTGCTAACTCCTAATCTGCTAACTAAAAAAATATAACTTCACTAATGTTAAACTGCTAAATAGATATTAGTTAGTGGAAGGGGCCCAATTTGTTAAACATAAAGTGACACGAGGCCCAGTCAGACATGACCAATGTATGGATCAAAATGATAATTATTCTAAATCTTGGTTTAATTTGTATTGTATTTACATTATAACAAAATTAAATACACTTACAGTTTAAAAGTAAAACTCCTGTCAAATATTCACAAGACATGATTATGACAAACATTTTTATATTGTAACCTGCCCATAACAATTATTTATATATATATATT